TGCTGTGAACGAAAACTTCGAAGTGACTCAGGAGCTGGCAGAGCTTTGCTCAATGCACGGACGGACTACGGGAGAAGAGATCAGCAAGGAGGTCAAAGACGTCATCGAGAAGCTCAAGCCATCATGGGAAAAACTCGCAGGTGTCTGCACCGATGGAGCCCCAGCCATGATGGGGAAGAGAAACGGAGCCGTTGCCTTACTTCAAGCGTTCAGTGGTGTAGAATTGAAGCAATATCACTGTGTGCTTCACCAGGAAGCACTCTGTGCCGAAGTGATGAAGGTCGTGACTTCGGTTGTCAACTTTATACGTGGTCGGGGATTGAAGCTCAGGAAATTTCAAGAGTATCTGAAAGAAATGGACAGTGAGCACATGGACATCCCGTATCACACTGAAGTTTGCTGGCTAAGCCGTGGGAATGTTCTGAGTCGCTTCGTCGCGCTGAAGGCCGACATCATCGCTTTCTTGCAAGAGGAAGGGAAACGCATACCAGAGCTGGAGGAAGAACAATGGTCGTGGGATCTGGCATTCCTCACCGATATTTCAAGCCATCTGAGCACGCTTAACATAGCTCTCTAAGGAAAAGACCATCTCAATTCGGACATGGTGAGCGCGATCTTCGCGTTCCAAGAAAGCTGCACCTCTTCAAATTGCAGCTTGGGGGTGGAAGCATAGTTCACTTTCCAACCTGCCAGGAGCCCTTTCCCACCGGCAAAAATCGGAAGACGGTAGCTGCGACGTACGCTCCACAGGTTGAGTACCTGCTCTCCGAGTTCCAGCAAAGATTCAAGGCATTCGAAAGTGAGGAGAGTAACTACGATTTGTTCTGCGATCCGTTTTCTGTCGCACCGGAAGACACAGGTCCGACGTCCGTCCAAAGCGGGGTGAAAAGTACAAGCGCGTGCTGGAGGACGCCCAGCCATTCTCTTTTTGTCGTCGGCTATACTACATATTTTTAAGTGAGAAAACGTATTGCAAATATGCAGTCTACCTTTGACTATAATACAGAATTCTGATAAAGATAACAACAGTGTATGGATATTGTTATCCACCATATTCCACATAAGCGCTGCCGCCTATCGGAACGTCTACACATGTGGTGTTTGAGTGGGTTCCGGACTGAGACGCTAAAGAACAAAGCGCTCACAAGGCTTGTCTGGCCCTTTCAACCATGCGGGTACATACATCGCAAATTCCTGATTTCTAGCCAAATTTTTTTAGAATGAGCAAATCTTGTCCACGCCCGAGGTAGACCATTGAATTGTAATTCAATGGTCTACCTCAATGGTCTACCAATTGTAGCTCTTCTGTGCTGCGGCACGCGTCCATGCTGCCTGCTTCAGAGGAAAACCACTGTTCGTGTTGACGACGACATCCCACAACGAAAAGGCAACAACATGTAACAAACTAAAATAAAATTCATATCATTCAATACACACAGGCTCACAAAGTGACGACACCATGGTTGTTGTGGTTGGTTTTACTCCTGCATACAAACAAAAGTGACCTCCTCTTTTCTCCGATGTACAGTAAAACCCCTTATCTCCGTGGCCCCTATTTCTTCTCAAATCGGGCACAGAGGATATAATCGCGGCCACTAAATTGCGTAAAATTGAAGGCCGCGAAAATTAAGGGCTCGCCAACATTAAGGGGTTTACAGTCCTTCCGTGTGTCATATGATGTTAAAGGGGCACTGATACCTCAAGGGTCGTATTTTTTTATTGTTTAAAACGGTGTTATTGTCTAGAATACGCAAAAAAAAAACGCATCGCGAAAAAAAAGAGAAGCAATTTCGTGCGCGCGCGCCTTTTAATTTTTGGCGCTTTCCTCTCCCGCTTTTCGCCTCCTCGCTTCTTTTGATTCGTGACGTCAAGAATCATGAAATTTAAAAGCATTGTAGGCGTCATTTCTATGACATTCAATGCCGGAAATCATAAAACATGTTTTCTAACGCAATTGCGAAACCACTACGGCCCTCTTTTTGAAATACCAAAAATCAGAGTCCGTTGTGGTGTCGCCTCCTGGACTTCTATCCTCCAAAGGAAAACAGGCGACACAGCTCAAAACCGGTCCGCCGGCGCTCGCTCCTTTCCTCCTCGCTTTGGGTTGCAATGGCAACAGGAGGGAGTTGTGAAAGAAGGTGGACGCTCAGGACTCTGCAATATTTGGCGTCAACGCACCGGCGCGGATCGCGCGGGAACTCCAAATTCGGCATTTGGAATTTTTTTTTTTTTACTTCACAAATAGTGAATTCTCAGGTTTCGAATTTTGAGGGTACTGTCCCGACATCGTTTTCAATCGTTTCGGATATTAAAAAAAATTATTTTTATGTGTCAGCGCCCTTTTCACATTTCAAAGACGCTGAAGGTATTGGTTGAAGAAAAAAATGGCCTATGCAAAAGAAAAAAAAAAAAAAACGCCCTTCTACAGGTTAGGCGCGCGAGGTTCTTTTGCACTCCCTATAAGGTGGCAAATTTGTTTCGGCAGAGCTTTTGGTAAAACGGAGTCTCAAGACTAGCTATACTTAACGTCAACTATTTTGTGCTGCATTGTAAAGGCTAGAGTAGCTTCTACAGTGCCCAGCACTGTTGCGAGAGCATATGGTTTAGTGTTGCATCTCATTTGCATGGTCTAGAGAGACTAGCGCTGACAGAGTTGGAGAACTCCGGAATAATAACACGCCGACTATAGAAGCATTGAGAGGTGCGCACATGCGAACAGTGCATTTCTTAAAAGGGGGTTCAAGCAAAGGTAAACACAATGTGTACTTACCGCAGCCATGCTTGCCATACTTGCCTTTCTCAAGCATAATCACTTGTCCCTCGGTAGCACCATCCAGTAAGAAGTACCAGCAACACACCCATGAGACGCCGCCGACTCCTGCATTGAATGACGACCCGCCTGAGGTCCTGGAAGGAGATCCGAAACACTGCTTTAGGCCAGATGTTGTATCTGGCGGGGCAGGGGCTAAAAGTGGAAATTAACAAATTTTTCTGAAGCGATGCATTCCTACAGCATAAACTCTAGGATAGCCGGGTTTTTTAGGTCAGTGATGTGTTTTAATTAAACACAGAAATGGTTGGTTTATATGATGAACCAGCAGCCCCCGTTTTGCATAAGTGTAATCGACAGGGTGAAAACAATCACTAGTATGATTTGGTCAAGAGAACGCTCGCGGTGTATAAACGCTTCGTTCGATTTTCATTTACCTCCTGCAACGCTGCAGAAAAGTGTAGGGCGGTGCACTTCATGTAAGCGATTTGGCGAGCAACGAGACAAGCGACAGCGACGAGGACTCGATGTCGCTCAGTTACCGCGCGTCGAGACAAACCTTATGGAAGCGATTGGTGCAAGCGACGAAGGCGATGAGCGACATTTTCTAGGAGGCTGTGTCTACAGTGCCGTCCGACGACACTCCACTCGCGCCCACAAGTTCCGTTCGAAAAAGAGTCGGACGGCGCTTGTATCACTGAGAAGCTGGTTAACACACAGCCCCGCTTCCGTTCATCGGCAACATTTTGTGTTTTCAGTGTTAATCGTAAAAAAGAAATGGAAATATGGCTAAATGCGCCGACTGGTTTCCCGTGTTTAGCAGTGACGCACTCCTAAATTTAAGTGATAATATTAAAAACTAATGGAGGTTCTCGATGAAGACTCAATACCAAAGAGCTGAGCTGTCATTCTTGACCTCATTGCTTAGTTTCCTTTAGTTGCAAGACACTGCCGTCGGTCTTTACTTATGCTTACTTATATAATCAAATTCTAAACGATTGTCAATTTAGTGTGAAGGTAGTTAACTCAAGAATAATAAAAATAGAGGAGACGCGAGTTTTAGTGTCGCAGTGTTGAACTCGAAGTACCGTTTTTTGAAAGGAGGCGCAGAATGTGCTCGCTGTTTTCATATGACCATATGTCAGGCACGTAATGGCCAATCAAGCAATTCAACTTTTTTTTTCTAGGCTCCACGCCTGTGGCTGGACGGCACAAGGCTTGCGAGTATGCGCCAAGAAGCTCGAAAAGGATAACGATCCTAGAGATTTTATGTAAATTTAGCGAAGTGTTTTCGCAAGGACGCATATCATAACCTTCGTCGCACGTAACCTTAACGTTTTATCCTGTTTTGTTGTTCATTTATTTGATTCTTGTGTACAAAATAGTGAAAAATTTTGTCTTTATTTTCTACTGTCTGTTAAATAAAAATGAACGCAAAAGGACAAGCATTGCATAATTTTTGTGCATGTGTCACTTTCGTTGCTTTGCTAGGTTTCTGCTGCTTTGCTGCTGGTCTCGCTTTTCAGTGCTGGCTTGTGTGCGTTTCAACGCAGATTAACCAGCATTGCAGTGCAAAAACCAGCCGTAAAGCAGTAGAAGCCTTGAAAAACAACGCGCAAACCAAGCAAAAAAAAAGCTACAATTGTTTTTTAAAATCTAGGTGGCGCTAGCTACAGCCCGTCCATCCAAACACAAGAGCGCTGCCGTGCAGATTCGGTTTTGGTTTCCCTGTGCCGCCATGTTGATTTTAGTACAGCCACCAGATACCAGGGGATTCAAATGGCGCTGTGGACTCACAGGTTTTTCCAGCTCGCGTTCCATGGGCGGTATAGGAAGTTGCACCCCTCTGTTCGAGTTTCATTCAGTGCTGACTGTACATCGTTCTCAAGCATGGCTCGTCGTCCATCGGCTCGACTTACATTTTCGGTAATGAAAAACCGTGATTAAGCACAATTATTCTAACGCAAAATTGTCACGAACACTTGGCACACATGTTTACACTGAAGCGCACCCAACATAATTTAAAAGTAGAACGAAAAGGGGACGAGATTCGCTTACCGCTTCACGGAAAGACATCCTAGGTCTAACGGTCAAGCTTCGCTGACCCAGGCTGACCACACCTGGTTGAACTATGAGAGCCGCCGTCGAATTGAGAACCAGAATCGCAGTAAAAACGGATTGCCCAAACATCTGTCCCGTAAAACGTAGAACCAGCCGGCGACCGCCACGCCGCCGTCGCCTCCGCCATCTCCTCCGCGACGACGGAAAGCGGGGAAGCCCGGCAGCGGAAGCAGAAGTCCCTGGGCGGAAGCTTTACTTTTCGCTTTTAGCCGACGCCGGTTTCCTTTGCGGGGTCGGGGGGTTGCGGCTGGTTGCGACGACGAGAGGAACCGCGAAAAGACGCTGAGTTGGCCGAGCACGAGTGACGGTGCGAGCAACGGGCCGTTTGCCGCTGTCGACCGGTGATGCAGTATCCTCGGCTTGGTGTCACGATCGGTTTGTTGCTGTGCACGTTGGCTTTGCTATGCGGTACGACTGGTGCGGCTGTCGAATACTTGTGGTGCACATTATTGGAGACAGTCGCCCCAAGACGTCGCCGTGAAGAGTTGACCGAGGAATTCGTGTGAGCTCAACGTCGGTCTTCGTTTTGACATGTATGGTATATGTAACGATACCGGTGGTAAATGATGGACCTTATTTTGGAAGATGTCGGTCGCCTTTCCGCATGTATGATTTGGTGATATCGGTGGTCCTGTGCTATAAGCGTTTGTTGGCAGGATGTCAGTCGCCTAGGTCATCGGACGCAAAATCATACCAGTCACACCGAATCACGTCGGCAAGCAAACCGACTGCCAGTATAGACAGACGCGGAGCCATAGCGGTGCCGATATTCCCAGTTATGCAGAACGCCAAACCAAACTAGCTCCATTACATAATAACAAGAAATTAGGGCGGTGTCATACCAGAACTGTACAAGCAGTAGTTATGTTTCTAGTACGTTTTTCCAGGGTGATGTAAGCGATCTGGCGAGCGACAAGAAAAGTGACAGCGACGAGAACTCGCTGTGACCCTATTGTCGTTTCCCTTGCTTGCTCAATCGGCAATTGTACTCCTACACTCGGCGTCAACTACTTCGTGCTACCTTGCCAAGGCTCGCCAAGCCTCCGCAGTGCTCCAACTCTGTAAAAGCACATGACTGCGAAGGGCGTGCTATCTCTCTCGACACCGCTCTCGTCGATAAAAGAGCCCGACTTCCTAACGCGTACGCGCCTGCTGATAACAAATGTTTGAGCGATTTCCTTTCAGACAATGTTCTCGGCGTCAACTATTTTGCGCTACATCACCAAGGCTTGCTAGCTTCCACAGTGCTCCAACTCAGTCAAACCTAGTTGCGCTAGCGCGTGCGAACGAGACGCATGACAAAGTCAGCTATTTTGACAGCAGTTTGGGGCTGAGACGTCACGCTGTCCTTCACGATGTATAGCACAAAAACGTTTACCCCGAGTATAATACTAGAGAAAAAAAAGAGCATGTTTTTATTTTCACTGTTCGTGTAAAGCGAAGTGCTCGCTACTAAGTCGTCGCAATTGCCGCCAGATGACCGCAGTGATTGCACATCGACAGGAAAGGGAAGTTGTGCGACGGGGCGCCATAGAACGGAGCACGCGGTGAGCAAACACCTGCCCCACGTGTGAGTGCATACATACCGTAGTGCGCAAGCAGAGCCGTAACTTTCCGACTCGCCTCTGTTCGAGCTATGCTAGGAGCGAGGCCGTTCCAATCTGTTGCTCGTGTGTGTGTCGTCCGCGGCGAAGCGTGCTCGGAATGAATCTTCAAGGTAAAAGACCCCTCGTTTTCTCTTTCTTCGGGCCTTTGGTTCATCGATTCAAGGGACTCACTCAACGGATAGCCTCTGCCGTCTTCATCATCGGGTGTCTGCTCCTGTTCGCTCTACACTCTGGTCGGGTCCACCCCAATTATGGTGAGTAAATTTATATCTTTTTTTTAATATATCAGATTCCGTTCAATGAGTAGGGGCAATTATTACATGTTTTATTACGTTATACATCTTACACATCATGAGTCGTCACCTCATCGGAGTACGGGAAAGTTTGAATGTTGGTTTAGGTATCACCTTTATTTTAAGTTTTGTCAATGGCTCTTCGGATTTTAAGAATAGTAAATAGCGTGCCGCAAAAAGCAAACCATGGATATTGCAAAAATCCGTTCAACTCATGAAACCTAAACAAAAGAAAGAAAACAAAGATTGCTAGTTTCTTGACAACTTTGTTTTCTCTTTTAGTCAACTTTACTGGTGTTTTTATCTCTTTTTTATTTTTTATAAGAGCACTTGCCAGCAGCAAAGCCAACTTGGATGGCTAGACACTTTTGTTAGTAAACACTCGATTTTACGCTGGATTGCTTGGGTCTACCGTCTATCAGTACAAACATGGCTTACTGTTTGACATGCCATGCTGTGGCTACGCCATACAAGTTTTTTGCATTATAATTTATACGCAATAAAACTTACTCTGGTGAAGCGTGTCGTTCTTTGTAACCCCCACATTGGCTACTAAACCAATTTGCATAACCATCTAAGCAGTAATTTCAACGTAACTATAAGTGTATTCAGACACAGACGCAAATAATAATAATGTTTATTTTCCACCATACGATGGTGGCGATCAGGAAAAAAAGCTGTCGGGTACAGCTTGACGGGTCCCTGACCGCCTACAGAAAGTAGCAACAGAGCCGGGAAAAACGATATTCAAGAGGAAAATAAATTGTACAATGATTGTCGCTATCACACATTTTAAAACAAATTTTAGATTTTTCCCCCTTTTTCTTACATTGAGGCAAGACAGACAGCAGAGATAAAATTATACAAAAACTAGTCACAAAGATTACAAAGAAAGCATGGCAACTACCTTCAGCTGCTAGAGAAAAAGGATGATTTTACTTCTCTTAGGGATAAATTATCCCAATTTATACTTTTAGTCTTATACGAATTGAGTAGATTGGGGAGAGTGTATTTAAGCATTTGTTTGCCATAGTTTGTTCTTGGTGTAGCCACCTCCCAACATTCAGCACCTCGGGTAGGGTAATTATGAACATTTTTTGATAAATTTCCAAGATCTGTTAAAAAAGTTGTCTTTAAGTTGCTCTACTTTAAAGCTAGTGCTAAGCCTATAATCATATAATGTATGCCCGTTTACGACCGGAAATTTCTGAAATAAGCCAGCTGTGTGAAAATCATACGAGACGGCAGCTATAGCCCTCAGTGCTTTTTTTTTGCAATACATGTAACTTTTCTAGGTTTGTTAAAGTTGTTGTTCCCTAAACTAAATGGCAATAATTTAAGTGAAAATAAAATAGAGAATTATATATTAATAATTTAACGCTTGTTGGTAAAATATAACGATAACAATTTAACATGCCCACAATTTGGGATAGCTTTGGAATAAGAGAGTTTATGACTTTCCACGACATATTTCCAGAAAACGTGAAACCTAAGAGTTTAAAACAATTCACAATCTCGATTTTGGTTGAATTCAAAACTATATCCTTGGTAATGGTAACGAGTTTATTTTTAGGACGAAAAAGCACGGCTTTGGTTTCATTTACATTTATTTGTAATGCGTTGTAATGACTCCACGTTTGTAACCTAGACAAGGCCAGATTCGCCATATCGAATAACAGATCAGGTTCATCTGCAGAAAACAGTATTCTCGTGTCATCAGCACAGTTTACAAAGTTTGCGCTTACATTATTATTGACTATATCATTCACGTACATGTTAAAGAGGAAGGGGCCCAATATACTACCCTGTAATACACCAGAAGGAATAGGTTTTATAGTGGAAGAATTCCCATTGATATAAACATATTGCGCTCGATGCTCCAGATAAGATCTTATCAGCTGTAAAGCGTGCCCTCGAATTCCATAATTATCTAATTTTGATAGTAAAATTTTATGATTGAGGCAATCAAACGCCTTGGTGAAATCTATAAAGACTCCAAGAACCATAATTTTGTTTTCAAAGCTTTGTGAAATAAATTCTTTTAAAACAAGTAAGGCAGATTCTGTCGACTTCTGTTTTATAAATCCATACTGTGATGGAGTTATGAAGTTATACTTATTTAAAAATTTAGTCAGACGTGTATGAACTTTTTCGAGCGCCTTGGAAAACACTGGTAATATTGAAATTGGCCTGTAGTTTCCCATTTCATTTACATTTCCTTTTTTATGCAATACTGAAACTTTGGCAATCTGCATTCGCTTAGGAAAAATTCCAGTAGATAAAGAGATATTAAATATGAGTTATTACAGGTGCTAATAGATGAATAACACGTTTTACCGGTCTTATCTGGATGCCATCGACGTCACAGCTAGAACTATTTTTAAGCTGAAGAAATACGCTTATAATTTCTGGTTCGACGACAGGATCTAAAAATATCGAATCACTGTTTCGTTTATCATTTAAAACCAAAGGAGTTTCGGTTTTAGTAGTACCCAGAATATTTACAAAGTGTTCGTTAAAAGCATTTGCCAGTGAACACACAGTAAGTTCAGTACCATTGCACAGAATTTTTTCAATTGAACTGAGGGGGCGATTTCGATAAAGAAGATAATTTAGTTGCTTTCACATGATGTCAGTGCGTCCTTGTGCGGTCTTGAATATATCAAAATGATAACGCGTTCTGGCGCTTTAGTTCTTTTGTATGGTTGTTGCGATAGTCTTTAAATATTTTAAGGTCCTTCTGGTCCTTGGATTTTATGAATTTACAATATAAAGCGTTTTTTATCTTAATTTTACAGAGTAAATCTCTCGTTATCCAAGGCTTCTTTATGCGCTTGTTTGTTTTAATAGAAGTGAAAGGAAAATATGTCTTATACAGTCCAAGAAATAACTCTATAAAAGTGTTATAAGCCCCGTCAGCACTATCTTCACACAGTACACTGCTCCAATTTGTATTTGACACAGCGGTCTGAAAAGCGTTGAGTCGATTTGAAGTTATTTTTTGTACTAATGTCCGCTCTGTCCTACAAGTTTTCTTCGGGAAACTTTTGAGAGAAATGAATATTGGGAGGTGGTCACTCAGATTGCAAACAATGACGCCAGCTTTTATATAATCAACTGAGCTGTTTGAAATAAACAAATCTATGAATGTTTCAGATTGGAGAGTAACACGTGTAGGTCTATTAATAACATTTGCACAACCATATGTCCTAATGAGCGAATCTAAACTTTTTTTAGCTACGGTTTCCGCGCTCATATCAATATTAAAGTCCCCACCACAAATTACATTACATTTTTCTTCATTAACAAAAACCGAAAAAGTCTCGAAAAGTTTAAAAAACGATTCAATGCTGCCGTTTGGTGGTCGGTACACCACAGCAAAGATATTCTGGTTATTGCGTATACACATCATTTCGTAATCTCGAGTGATGCAACTATAATCACCTTTTTGTTCTTAGCCCGAGACTGAGGCAGGAAAAGAGGAAAGTTTCGAAGTAGAAGAAAAATGAACAGTCGAAGACACGTCTCTAACACAGCTAAAGACAAGTTTATTTGGTCACCTTCTTATATACACTCCACAAACTTCACCACATCACCTTCCCGATCTCGAAAGCCAAAAGATAACAAAGGTCTCACATCGGGAAGGTGATGTGGTGAAGTTTGTGGAGTGTATATAAGAAGGTGACCAAATAAACTTGTCTTTAGCTGTGTTAGAGACGTGTCTTCGACTGTTCATTTTTCTTCTACTTCGAAACTTTCCTCTTTTCCTGCCTCAGTCTCGGGCTAAGAACAAAATGGTTAACATCCACCAGCTCGCCTGCGCAATCACTACATTATCATTATAATCACCTATTACTTCACCAGAAACACTTTTTGTAAAAATGGCTAAGCCACAACCACGTCTCTCTTTACGATTTATGTAAAAAGACTGGTATGTAGGGAGTTGTAGTACGTCCGTCTCTTCAGTGCACCGGGTTTCTGTAAGCAGGATTACATTTGTTTTTTTTATTGTTTTTGTTTTTGACACAATTATCAGGGAGGTTGGGACAAAAGGCGAAAACGAATCACCTGACTAGGTCCCAACCCCCGTTACAGCACTCAGCAGCAGGGCACAGGAAATAAATCAAAAACAGCATAAATCAAAAATAAAACAATATCTGATAAGATAAAAATATGAATCACAAAAAATGTACAATTTTGATGTGAACTATACTAGGAATACACACTAGGCACATTGAAGTATACCGTAAGGTATTTTTTGAAAAGAAACATGGACGCTATTTTCTGGGCCAATTCGAATACACAATAATTTCTGTTAAGAAGAACGGTTATCTAGTAGGATATTTTTTGTGTACCGTAATTAGTTCTTATTTTAGGTTTTGAAAACTGGTGGTGTCTCAAATTGTAATTTGTTTGCTTGGATAAATATGTTTCGTAAAATATTGCGGGATTCGTGTTTATTTGAGTATGAACTGAAACTGCGATCTTTAGGCAAAAAAGATTATCTAATGTTAATATTCCATCTTTAATAAAGCTAGGGGAAGTCGATTCAGTCCAAGGTAAATTATCAATTGACCTAACTGCGCGTTTTTGCAATGTAAATAATTGCTTAATATTACTTGCTGTAGTCGTCCCCCAGACCAATAAACAGTAATGCAGCCTCGAGTGAATCAGAGATATATACAGTTGTTTTTTTAACCAGGCTGGAAGAAGGTATTTTAGCTTACAAATTAAACCAATTGATCTAGAAATATCCCTTCGGAGTTCGTTCACTTGACAAGTCCAGTATAGATTTTCGTGAAAACAAACACCAAGAAATTTAAAGGATTCTACGCGTTCAATATTCGAGTTTTGAAACGATATACTAATTTTGCTAGTTATGGGCTTATTTTTTGTTCTAAAAATAATGTACTTAGTCTTTGTCGTATTCAGCTCTAACTGGTTTGAGTCTAACCATAAAT